GCGCCCGGTCACGTGCGGCAGCCGAGGGAAAGGGGGAGGGGTAGAGGTGTCAATTTGCGTCTATCACGTGATCCCACGTGAGAACTACGCTCCCCAGCGTGCTTTGCGCCCCTCCCTTTCCCAACCGCCCGCTGAAGCAGCTACGGTACCAGCAGCGACCCTGCTGCGCAGGCGTAGTGTGACTCAGCGGCCGGCAGGGCGGAGGGCGAGACTTTGCGCAGCGCGGCTCCTCCCCCCCGCCCCTCACTGCGCCGGGGCTATGATCGGTGAGTGAGTGAGACCCGGATGTAGCGCCCCCTTTTTTTTCCTCCCGCCCCGTCCCCAGCGGCCACCATGACGCAGCGCGGGGCGGAGCCTGTGACGTACCCCCCCTCCGTCATGCACAGAACACGCCCCTCCACTGGCCCTCAGTGTGCCCCTCCCCCCGCAGGTCCTTGGGGCCACGTGGGCCCCTGTCTGTGCTCACCCCTGGCCCTGACCCAGCCCTGGGAGTCACGAGGGTGCCACTCCTTGCACCCTGGCTCCCTGAAGCAGGTGGCCTGTACCATGGTCCTTGGCTATGAGAGAGGAAGGGGTTGGCTGGGCAAGGGGAAGTGTGAGATGCCCCAGCCTTTACTTATAGCCCAAGCCAGAGGCAAAGGCCTCAGGGTTCCCAACCTTCCAGGATTTCCTTGGAGTCTCCAGGAATTAGATACAAATCTTCAGGAGACTGCTATGAGCACCCCCCCCCCCCCCCCCCCCCCCCGACATAGGGGTCTCATTCAAATAAATAGGAAACGTTGAGTCTGATTTATGCAGTAGTCCAGCAGGTCTTTCATATGTAGCAGTATCGTGCGTTGGCCTTCCTGGCCTGAAGTCTACACACCGTAAACCGTAACTGATGCATGCAGGCATGTTTGTGCTGTGTGTCGTTATGTCATGGGATGAAACCTCTCAGAAGAGATTCAAACAGAGTTGGCAACTTTAGACGGTCCCGATATCTTTCTCTTGACCCTGGGGCCAAGTTGTTAAGGCCCAAACTTCTCCCCCATCCTTTTTTTTTTTTTAAATTATTTCCGGGTTAACCTCCTCCAACCACAGTGCTGGCATGGTCGCTTCTAGTTAACTGCCCCCAGCTTTGCTGCAGTGCATCATTATAAATACTGGTGGCAGCCATTGGGGCCATCTTATCTTCCCTTGCTCTGGTGTTACCCAGGGTTCAAATTACATCAAATTTGATTCTTCCAGGGGTTTGCAAAAGCAATTGGGCTACCCACAGTGCCATATTAACGCATAGGCAAACCAGGCACATGCCTAGGGCCCTAAGTGAAGAAGGGGCCCAGTTGTGCTTATTTTACATATTATAATTACTGAGTGAAAAAAAGTAGGGGCCCATGAATTTGTTTGCCTAGGGCCCACTAAAGGGTTAATCCAGCCCTGGCTGCCCATCACTATGCTCTAATAAAATTGGAGACTCCCCCCAGGTTATGATTTTCAAATCTTACAGGGGAGCTCTCATCTCTTATGCGGGGGACTCAGCCCTGCTGAGCTCCCCAGTAATTCAAACCCTGGTGTTACCCTTCCTGGCAGCAGAACTAAAGCGGGGCAGTTGTGTGATCTGGGTAAGGTGCTGTGCTGGTCATCCTTGAGGACCCTGTTCTACATTCAAATTAAAACTGGATAGAAACCAGTTATATTGTGGTTTCCTGTTCTCAGACGCTAACTTTGTAGCTGGTTGTCTTTCTTTAAAGCAGGGTAGTTATTTTTATTGTGTGATTGTTACTTGCCGCGTATAGCTGGTCTAAATTTATTGCAGGATTAACTTGTTAAGTGTATTACTTTGCACGTGTGGCCGGTCTAAATTTATGTTGGGTAATTGTGTAATATCTGTAAGTTATAGTGGGCGCCTGAGTTAGCAATGTGCAGCCTTCTGATAGCACGACCGCTCAGTTGTTTCACTGGCTATAATTTCGTTTGGAAAGAAGAGACAATTTATCTTCAGTATTTCCCTTCCATCACTGTAGGGCTCCACCAAACACAAAAGCCACCTCTTCCCTTACTACGTCTCTTTCCCCCCTGCGTCTCTCTTTTACTTTCATTTTTGTAATTTGTGAATTATTCACAGACAAGACCAAAGGAGCAGAAAGTGGGATGCTAAATGAATTTAATACTAAATAAAATAAATTGTTTTCCTCCACCCACAGATTTTAAATGCTTTTCTCTGCCCTTCATATTGGATGTTTGTCCACTTTCTGAGAACTGATCAGTTTTGTGATTGTTGGACACATTGCCCAGGCAGCAACAGTAATAATCCAAGAATTCAGTAATGGAATTGACTCAAAGGATTTTGGACACTATAAGATTCATGGTTTTTACCCTTAGAAACGTTCATTCCTTTTTAACAGTAATGTTCTGGTAAAAACATGTACTGTAGTGGTATTCTTTAAAACTAAATTCTTCCCAACCCTGTCAAAAAAGCACAAGTTTGATCATGTGGTTTTCCATCTCTGAATATTCATGGAAATAAGTCTCTTCCTAGCTCTATACAGTCCATACCTGGCCTTTTGTCCGCATGTAGTTTTCTGATACAGTAGAGAACATGCAAAAGTCTTGATTTCAGGGAAAATATTGTAGTATCCACATGTACTTATATCTTGATAAAATATATGAAGGGCAGGTTTCTTGTTTACAGGAATACATTTTATTTATTTTCCTCTAATTCCTGTAAAAAAAATTAGTATGTTACAATTTAAAAAGGTGTAAGTATCTCACATTTCTGAAGAAAGGCTCAGGAGTTAGTTGCTTGAGGTTGTGTTAGGGTTAATCTACCAAGTTCTTTATTGTTACTTAGTTATTTTGCATTCATAGGATATGACTTTAAAAGAATGAAAAATATAAATTGATCAGAAAAAATCTCAAAACAATTGTTATATCCCAACTGTATATTGGTTTGTAAGGCTGTGCGAAACAGCACCGTTCCATTTTGACTTGAGTTTCAAGGTTTCAACTGAACAGCGTTTTGTTTTGAATTTCATTTCAATTTGAAACCGCTGTTCTGTTTTGTTTTGTCAAAACAGTGTCACTGTTTCGACGCTGTTTCGCCATTTCGCCCATACAATATAATGGGGAAGCTTAAAACAGCCTCTCTCATCCAGCAGGCAGATGGGGGCCCGCAACTGTGGGAGGGCTGCGGGGACTGTGCCGGTCCTACCGGGGCTGCAGGCCCCTGATCTGCCTGCCAGATAAGGGAGGGAAGCCGGGTGCTGCTGCTTGGGACTGGGGAGCTGGGGAAGGGAACTGAGCCCGATCACTCAGTTCCCCTCCCCAGCACTATGATCAGGCTGGGGAAAGGAACTCAGCCCAGCTGAGCTGAATTCCCCTCTAGCACTAGGATTGGGCTCCCTTCCCCAGCCACATGGGGCTGCAGAGCCGCTGGGAGCACAGCCCTTATTCTCCCGTCTCCCATCACCTGGCTGCTTCAGAAGTTTTGAAATGTTTCAACTAGCCTCGTTTTGTTTCGAGGCTCTTTCGAAGCCCTTTGTTTTGATTTGATTTTGCTGTTTTGAGCTCGGAATGAGTCGAAGCAGTGTTGAATTGAAAAATTTGGTGAAATTTTGCACAGCCCTATTGGTTTGTTTTTTTTTTTAATGAGCAATCACGTAGGCATTATATATTCTTATCACCAGAGTGTTCTTATGGCAAACCTTTTCGGAGAATGACTACAGGTTCTCTATGTCAGTGGATCCATAAACTCATGTAGATTTTTATTGACTTCAGTGAAATTTTTGCTGGGGGGGTTTGTCCATATAAATGGCAGCATTACAGGATAGGCATGTTTCATTTTCCCTTTGAAGTCAAAAGGACTTTTCCCAATGCACAAAATTAAGCGTGTGTAAAGGATGAATTGTATGTTGCTTTAGGTGCCCAAATGGCAGTTCCCCAGCCACACAACTGCCACATTTGGTGTTATTTCACAAACATATGCATCTGCATGACTACGCAATGTGCACAGTAGGCCATGTGCTGGTCACATAGGAACATGGTTTTGTATTCCCATACTGGGGTGTAAATCCCAGAATTATGGTTTGGCAAAAATAAGGAAAAGGAGGAACTGTGCTTTAAAGCTAATAGCTGGGTGATCAGGTCAGAGGCCCAAGATGCAACTGATCCAGGTTTTAGGTTTCCTCCACCTCTATTCTGTGGTAAGCTATCCCATATTTTCTGTTTCTCTTCCTATGAACATTTTTCCAGGCCCTGGATCACTTTTGTCACTCTTCTCTGTATTTGCATTATCCTGTTTGAGATGGGGTGACCAGTACTGTGTACAGTATTTCAGATAAACATTGATTTATTTAATGGGCTTATAATAGTCTTCATAGTCTTTCATACCCCGATTTTTATACATCCTAAAATCTTGTTATCTATTTTTGAATGCCACTGAACATGGAACAGAGATTTTTATTTTGCTGTCTGCAGCAAAACTGAGATCACTTTCTTGAGTAGATACAGTTAATTTAAAAGCCCAAGGGTGCATAAATAATATAGTCAATTTGAATCCCTGTAAGGTATATGAGAGAACTTTATAGAAGTAGCAACAGACCACTTCGGTTAGAAATGGGTTACCATGTAGCCCAAGGCTTCAAAGCTGAAATTTTATTTGAACTATACTAAAAAAGCATTAATTTGTATGTGTTCATTATTTCAGTAGAGAGGTTATTCCCTGAGGCCTTCAAAATATGCAAATATATTTATTTTCATTTGTGTGACATCTGTATTAGGAACCTCATATCAGGAAATTCATTATGTAGTGTATCAATCCACCAATAAAATATCCGTGGACTAGCTAGGTTCTGTCCTACAAGCTTTCTGTGGGGCAGACATCTGGGTAGACCTACATTGAAGTCATGAGTGTTTTCTGAATTTTAATTCTTGGGTACATCTTTGAAAGTATTTGGTAAGGTATATAGCAAAAGCAGTACTTGTTTAATACAGTCCTTTAAAATAAAGGACAGTGTGTCACCTGTTGTTTTACCTTTTAAGTGAATTGCAGTACTTCAATTCTACACTTGTTCTTTCCTGTATTAATATTCATTTTTATAACTTTGCAGTATATTCTCTATTATAATTTTATTACGATGATTGGATATATATTTAATAACTTCAATAACCTTTTCAAAATAAGTATTAAATAATCCCACTTTATTTAAAGGGCCACTGGAGTCATTAATTGATGGAAGGCAGCATTTTTCCTATGTGTCATGGGGCGGGGTCCTGGAGGATGGCCGTG